AATGAAAATATTTTATTATTTATATATAAATATAAATAATTTTTATTATTTTTTTTTTTTTTTTTTTTTTTTTTTTTTTTTTACCAAACCATCTTTAAAAATTTTTGAGAATTTTTTTTTTTTTTTCTTAAGTTTCATTTTGTTATTTTTCCACTGGATAAATGTATGTTAAATGACAAATACATTAAAATTACTGGCTGAATTGTTCTTTCTTTCTTTGTTTTAATGAAATCTACTGCCACACACTGAAACCAGAAGCAGAGCTCACTGCAAACAGGAATATTGACTGCATTCAATTTGTCTGTCAGTTAACTCAGATTAATGCGATTCCGGGGCGGCTGCTGAGCGTCTCCCTCTCTTGTCCTCCTGTTGACCTGCAGGAGGAGTTTCCCGAGCACCGAGCTGCTGTCAGTGGAGGTCAGCCTGGACTCCGACTCCCAGAGGATCGAGGGCAAACAGAACGGAGGAACCTGGTGCACAGGTGACGCTGCAGCCACTGAAATGTTTACTTTTAAAACCCTAAATGATTATGAAGATTTAAAATGGCTGCTTTGTTTCCCCTCCAGGAAAGGACTACACCCCCTCCATGATGGGTCTGTGTGGGTCTTTGGCTTCTCTTCCAAGCACCAAATCTCTGGCTAGCTTCAAATCAAGTGAATGTCTGGTCAACATCAGCACAGAGAATAGCCCTGCTCTGTCTCCCAGCTAGGGGGCGCCAAAGACGCACTGGAAAAACAGACAATTCAACTGTTAAAGTGACTGCTCCTCACTGCGATGGCCTGGTAGGGCCTATATAGATACAAGAAGGAGCACATTTCTGAAAAAACCCCCCCCAAAAAAACAAAACTGAAATTTTGAGATGATCTCAGAAATATTCTGGAAAAAAACAAGAAAAATTGTATGTCAATAATTTGCAAAGAAAAATTTAGAATTTTGAGATTAATCTTGCAATTTTTTCAGAAGAATCTCTCAAGTTTCTGAGTTTGAAAAGTTAAAAGTTTGTGAGAAAATATTTCAGAAATTTTCAGATTAATCAAATAAATATTCTGGATAAAACAAGGAGATTCCTGAGCTCCAAAAGTTGAAAATTTGTGAGAGGAAAAACTCATACATTTTGAGATTAATATCAGAAATTTTCTGGAACAGACAAATGTCTCATATGAAAAAGTTGAAAGTTTGCTAGAAAAAAAAACAAAGAAATTTTGAGATTAATCTCAGACATTTTATAGGAAAATCAAAAACATTTCTGAGCTCCAAAACTAAAAGAAAATTGCAAGAAGAAAAAAAAACTAAGAAATTTTTAGATTAATTTCATATAAATCTCAGAAATGTTATTAAAAAATATGAAATTTCTGAGTTTGAAAAGTTGTAAATTTCGGACATGTGAAACTGAAATAAATTCCAAGAGACGAGTTCTAAAATTTTATTTAGTGATTAATGCCAACATTTCTGAGTTTTTCTCTTGCAAATTCTCTTAAATTCTCTTTTCCAGCTCAGATTTAATTTATTTAAATTCTGAGATTAATCTCAAAATTTGTGACTTTTTTTTCTCACAAACTTTCATCTTTTGGAGCTCAGATTTTACTTTTTTTTTTTCCCTAGAAAATTTCAGCAATTAATCTCAACATTTCTGAGGTTTTTTTGTCAGAAACCTTCTCCTTTCTTTCCGGCCGTGGCACGCCGTCGTACCTCACTGATGTGCGCTTTCATCTGACCCTTGACCTTTACGCTCTGAGCCCGTCTCTCTCTCTCTCCTGAATCAAACTTGAGTGAAGGAAGATCCTGCATGTCCTGAACTTTTCCAACATGGATGCAGAAATAGCTGCTGTACTGCCTCTGTCTTCATCTCCACTGCATTTCAGAGCCGGTTTACGCTTCACGCAGATAAAGTCCCACATCACCGTCCGTCCCCACCGTGCGTCCCTGTCTGCTGAGTCCGCCGTGTCTTTATCAGTCCGTCTGTGTTTTCTCTCTGTTGCCTAACAGGCAGACTGGCTCAGCTGTTGTAACATTTTAGGATATAAAAGCAGCATTTTACCATGGTTAAGTACAATATTATCAGAGATCAGAGCGAGCTGAGGCTTTTTACAGTGAGCCAAGTTATCTATGGTGAAGATTATTTAAAATATAACAGAAAGTATAATAATCCAATTACATGCTGATTTTAGGAATGACATGTGAGTCTGCCTCGGTAAACCTGTTGCATAAAAAGACAAAATGCTTTGGGACTATGCAGGATGAATGTTTTCGTTGGGGTTTTCTACCCGCTTGATGAAATAGTTTGAGTAGATGAGAACTTGTGAATCTGCCACGTGTCTGTGTGCCTTTGTTCCCTTTGTTTTCATTTCCCGACTACTTTCTTGGCGCCCTCTGTACTTATTTGTAAGACCTGGTAAAGATATGAAAAAAAAGGTGAAAATAAAGTCACATTTCACTGAAGTAGCATATGTTTTGAAACATTTAGGTAAAAAGTTCAGTGATTACAAAGTTCCACACCGATCCTCCATCATGGTTAACAGTGAATTTTAGTTGGGTTTTTTTATATTTATCTTTTTTTTTCCTAGTACATTTGAAATATGACAAAACTAACTTAAAAGTAAATTTTCAGCAAAATATAGGAGCTTTCTAAGTCAATAATCCCTTAATGTTGATGAATATGTGCGGAAAATGCCCTGTTATAAGTGGAACTTATACATACAGTACATTTTCCATCAATATCAAGCAATTATTGACATAAAAAGCTCCTATATTTTCCTGAACAGTTACCTGTAAGTTAATTTTGTCTAATTTCAAGTGTAATAAGATATTTTCACTGGAATCAAAACCAGGAAGTTGTGATTTAAATTGTAAAACAAATTTAACATATTTTCCCCATTGAGTAATTATGATCAAATCCGGTGTTAGATTTCGCTGCTGCAGTTAAATATGAATTTATTTTAAACTTTTACACATCTTTAACGTCATGTTCAGTAAAAATGGAGGATGCTGTTATCAATATTTCAATCTAATGCCGTGTGGTTGAAAGCTGGAAATCATCGCATTACTTAAAACTGCAATAAAAACTGCCTTTTTTTGGAAACAGTAATTGCTGGTGTGTACATGTTGTTGTTCCTCCTGATAAACATTTCACTGTCAGATATAGATTTGAAATTTCTCGATTATGGGGTTATTCCTAAAGTTGCTGGATGGATTGGAGATAAACGTCTAGCCATCGATGAAAATAATAAAATTAATACTGAGTTTTTATAAGCTTTTTTAGTTCTACTGGCAGATTAATGTCACTTATTTGACAATCAACTGGCACTTCGCCGTTACCTAGCAACACCTGCTAGACCCGCCCGTCTCCTAGCAACCCAGTTTGAGTTCCACTGGCAGATTATTTCACTTATAACAAAACATTTTTTTCATTTTACAAGTGAACTAACACATTTTTCATCAATATTAAGGAATTATTGACTTACAACAAGCTCCTATGTCTTGTTGAAAAGTTGCTTATATGTTAGTTTTGTCTTAATTCAAGTGTACTAAGATAGAAACTAGACTAAAAATGCTGAGTAAGATTTGTATTTTTTGCATTGTAGGCAGTTAGTACACGTTTCATTCAGGATGTTAATTCCTGACTCACCACTCACATTTCTTTTCTGTAAATAACTACCAAATATAAACATGACAAACGTTTCCCACATTAGAAATTGGTCTGATGTACATTAAGGAATTATTGACTTAAAGCTCATATCTTGCTGAAACGTTACTTATGTGTTAGTTTTTTCTTAATTTGAGAAAATTACACTAGTAATTAGACATTACTTTGTACATTTTTGTGTTTTTCAGTTCATTAGATGTTGGGTTTCATTTATGAAATAAGGAAAAGTCATCCAATGCTTGGAGAAACTGAAGCATTTATGACAACTGAAAATTGTTCTTTTGTGTCACAATGAAAGAATTCTGGTCCACGTTTTCTTTTTTTTGCAAAATTTATTTAATTTAGCCTCACTGGATGGGCTTTCAAACTAGACCAAAATACTTGGTAAGATTTTGTGTTTTTGCAGTGTATCTGAAGCCCCCTGAGATGTTCCCACCCCCAAAATGACTATCATAAGTTTTAACCATTTTCATTTTGACTAAAATCTTCATTATTATGAAGGTTACTTGTTGTATAGGAGACTTTAGTGTTAATTTTCATCTTACTGCTTTGACATTCAACTTCCTTTTCACAACTCTCACAAGTTATTCTGTCGATTTAACACCAGAAGAAAGCCACACCACAGAATCTGCTGACTTCAGTGTCATTTACTGTAATACTAAGAAACCCACCAAGCCACCCTCTTCCCCCCTGCTCCACTTTGTTTTCACAGTTTCCCTTTGCAAAGCTAACTTTGTCTTGCATGACATCTTTTCCCTTCAGATAGGTTTGAAATAGTTCACGTCAGGTCAAAGGTTAGGCTCATTTATCCATTACCTCAGACAAATAGACAGAGCTAAGCAAACATTAGCTGAAGGTCCTTTGGTAAATGTTGGAAATGCTTTATGTGGGGCATGCATTCCTGATTGACGTACTGTCCAATTAGCTCCCTGGCTGTAAATGAATGGATGCCAGTGGGTTTTGTGAAGAGTTTGAGTTTAGTTATCAGGCTTTGTCTCAGTTTCTTTGCATGTGTGACATCATTTCTTGGATAGTTTTTTCATCATAGTTTTGTTTATTTCATTGTGGCTAATTCAGTTAGTTTAAATTTTTAGTGTGCTTGCTAGTTTTTATAATGATTAACTATTGTTAGTTATAGTTATACTTTTTTATATACTTTGGTTAACTTTTAGAGGCAGAATTTAAAAAAAAAACGTTGGAAGATTTTTTATGATTGGGTAATGAATACTCAACAGAAGGTATAATTTTCTAAAATTGAATTTAATTATTCAGTTATTCAGGATAAACTGTGGCGTTTTATCCCAGCTTTAGCTGTTGCCATTTTAGGGGATTAGCTTAAATGCTGCCAGAAGGGGTATGGAGTGCCGTAAGTTGCCGACAGATGACGTAAACAGCTTGGGTGGCGGAAAACACGAAAACGAAGAGTATTATAGCTATAATATCAGTATGTTTTAGTTACATAAACGCGCGATGTAGTTCCAGTTGGTTATATTTTTACCTCACGAATTACCGTTTTTATTTATTTCAATAAACAAAAATGTTTTCTCAATTTCAGTTTTTGCTAGTTTTAGTTAATTATAGTACCCTAACAAGCACCCGAAGCCATATGGAAACCCGTTATTGCTGCGTTAGGGGGTATGAATCCATTCGAGGAGGGCACAATTTTGGATCTGCGCTGTTTTGATGAGGGAACACGTTGAGGTTTGGCGCTGGTCTGGGATCAGCTTGAGAAAGCGGTGTCACGTTATCTTTTGCCCTCTTCCCCTGTCCCCACCGATGGCACTCCCTTTCACACAGAGGCAGGACATTTATCTCACACAAAGCACGCTGTCCCGCTTACACACACACACGCACACGAACACACACCACCCAGCTGGCAGTTATTGGTTGAACAAATGACGAAGATGGAGGCATATTTTGATTACATGTTATCTTGGAGAAAGTCAAACATCGTATCTAGGGAAAACCACAGTAAGGTGTTACATTTACTTAAGTAACATTTTTGGAAAAATGTACTGAGTATTTCTGCTATGCTGTACCTTGGAGTAATTTTGCTATGATGTATTGTTACTCTTACTTGAATAAAATTTCTGGATTCTCTACCCACTGAATAAAAAACAAACAAATTCACCAGACACAGACACACATCTGCAGTTTTTGTTAAAAGTTTTTTATTGAAAGAAACTGATTTGGGAACATTTTCTTTTGCCTGATTTTGTCATTTTTTGCTACTTGAATGAATTATTGTCATTTTCTTCCTTAAAATACCAACATTTCCACCTAACTTTATATGTTGGTCTGTCTCATTGTGTTATTTTTAAATATTAATGATAGATAATTTGATCATTTACTCAGTACTTGAGTAGATTTGTTACCACATACTTTTCACTCTTTTAGACGGTTACTTTTTACATTTTACTTGAGTAAAAATATGTTGAAGTAGTGCTACTCTTACATGAGGACAATGTTTGGATACTCTACAGACCTTTGGGTAAAAGTACTCTAAAATGTACTCAAGTAATCCTGCAGATTCATGTTGTCTTTTTGATTTTTTTTCTCTCATTTTGCTTTTATTTATAGACTTTTTAAAAATACAGCTGTGCCCTCTTTTTCCTAAGAGATCAGAATCAGTAGTAGTAGATAAACAACTGAACCTTGACAGCCCTGCAGAATCTAGAGAGGGTGCCTGAGAAAGTACAGAGCACTGAAGCATGAGAGACTCCTCATATCCTCTTTGTGAACTTTTTGAAAGTTAACATGAAATGCACAACAACCAGACTACTGTACAGGTTTCTGGGTTAAGCTGTTAAAAGATAGTGTTCTTCATATTACCAACTTATTGTACATGTGTTTTTCTATTGTATATTTTCATATATTTCTGTTTTATTATGTTTCTCACTTCTCTGCCTTTTGTTCTATGCAACGAATTAACAATAAAATGTATTTTAAATGAATAAAAACAAAAAGAAAATGTATAAAATGAAATGGAAATTGAGTGTGATAATGGTTTCACTTTGCTGTTGTTTAGTTGGTCTGCAAGAAATTTCCACCCTTCATTGTGACAGAAAATTCACCTGAACAAAACCTCAAATCAGGGTTGCAGCAAACGTTTTGAGGCACAACAAATCAACAATTTTCAAATATGAGGATCTGTTCTTTATCATTCACTCTGGGATCTGCTAATTGGTTGATCTGGAGCTAACTATTGTTAGCAATTAAATATGATAATTCTCTCAATTTTATGTTTTTTTATTAAATGAATATGTTGACAAGTAGAAATTTTATAGCTCTATGTGTGCCACTGATTTAATGAGATGGAAACCAACACAATTGTAACTTGTTTATTCCTTTCAACGTCTGGTTTTACAGAGAAGTTTGGCTAGTATCTTTAAAAACCTGCCAGAAGTTATTTATTGTCATAATTATTCCCTTTTTTGAAAGCAGTCTGTTCATCTGTAATGATGTGGGTATCAATAAAAGTGAGAATTTACATAACATGTAGTATTTAGGAGGATTTTAAAAGTAGTAAATCTGTTAATGCGACGTATGAATGGGGGCGGGGACAGAAAATTTTATTGTTTGAGATTTGACAGATTGATGGGGCATTGACCAATAGGGTTCAAGAGCGAGTCCCCACCAGCCAATCAGAAGTCAGAGCTGCGTCTAAGTTTGGCATAATTAAATCCACTCCAGCGTGGTTGCGGTGGAAGTGTTTTGAGTTTGCCATTAAAGCCAGAACACTGGAGGGGGAAGACAACCACGTCTACTTTCGCAACTTTCAAGGCCGTCAAAAACACACCTCGGCCCGAAAAACACATAATGAAACAGGCCTCTAAATGAGCTCTGAAGACGGAGGAGTTGACGTGAGAGTGACTTTTTTTGAAGCTGGAGCTGCTTCCTCGTTCGACAGAGGGGTGAAACATCTCAACATCCTCACAAAGAAACTTTGCTTTGCTAGGCTGCTAACTCGAAAACGACCAAGTCAACAACAACAAAAAAGTATCACTAGCGACGGCGCTTGCACAATAAAACGTTTATATGTCGAGCTGAGTGACGTTAACTTCTTTAATTCACTGTGAAAGTGTTATGTGTGCGGTTCAGGGGAGAAGTTTGTAACGGTTTCGAGTAATCATCATCATCACTACAGGAGGAAGAGCTGCAGTGGGTAACTTTAGCCAAGCTACGAGCAGCAGCCCAACTCATACATCTGAAGCTGGGCTGCCAGTTTTTAGGTGATTAGTTCAAGCTGGTTCCCGCAGACATGTCCGGCCGAAGTGGAGCTGGACATCCCCGGCCTGGCTCTCTGGGTCCGCAGCCCCTCAAGGCGACTGTTCCCTTCAGGCTGGCCAGCAAACCGCGACCGAACCGGAGGGATGGGAAGTCAGGTATGGACTCAAAACACCTGTTGAGCTCTGACTGGAAACAGAAACTTATACAACATCATATCAGTCAAGGATGACGAGGATTTTTTACACAACTTTTACTCCGGAAAAATGTCATATTTATCCCCCAAAACTATTTTTAATAGGAAAGTTACTCCAGACAATTAATGCTTTAAATGCAAAATATTTTTGACTTATTTAGCTGTAATCTGGACATGATCTGTAATTCTAGATCAGAGCCATCTTTGCTCTCAGTACAGCTGAATAAAACTCGTCAAGAGTTGCAAATGTATTGACAAAGGGCGACTTATAATTTGAATAAATGTCTGCTGGAGGAAATATGTTACACTTTTTAAACAACCACCATTTTATATCTATTTTTATGCTTTAAAGTGAAGAAAAGTCAAGAAAGTTGATATTTGTGGGAAATATTGATCTAAAAACTATTGCTAGTACTTTATCATTCTATTGTGGAAATGCACTGAGATTAATCTGTTTTTTTTTTTTTTACTTGTTTATTATTAGCTGAAGTTGTTTATTGCACACCACTGTTAACGAAACACCCTGTGTGGTAACACCGCATAGGAAGAAATAAGATTATACCAATAATCAAACACTAATGGGCTTTTAATTTAGGCTCTAAATGTTGCATTAAATGTTAGGTAAACAAATAGGAAGTGAGTAACATGTACTGATTTTTCTATTTGCAAAATAAAGTTTTAATTTGTTTTCTGATCTGGAGAAGTTTTGTTCTCCTCCAAAAGGGCAGGAGTAGCTTAAAGGTTACTGCAGTTTCACAAACCCTTTTCCTGTCTTATTGAATGTATTCATGAGGTGGTTTAAAAAAGTTATTGGTTTTTAACCTAGTAGCACTATATCTAGATACAACCACCAGAATAACTAGTTACACCAAACTAGCTTTTAAAAAACTGCTCTTATTTTAAACGGGAAAGCAATATTTGTACATAGCATGTTAGTTATTACAGTCTTAAACATTGATTTATGCTTTTGTATGCATGAATTTAAAATAAGAGCTGTTATGTGTTTTCTTTATAGTGTAACATTATGAATGTAACAAACTGATATTTGCTGGGTAATTAGTCAGCCTGTGTAACCTCAATGGGTGCGGTTCGTTCAGTTTTCACACCATGACTGTCTGGGTTTATCATCTGTTTCTAGGCAGTGAAGTTTAGTAGCTTTTTACAGCAACAGGTAGGGCAGGGGAAGTGCTGTAAAACCATGTGCAACATCCATATATCTATGAAATAATTGATTAAATATTGGCGGTGTTTCTGTGAAAAGTTCTGATGTCCTTATTGAACACCGGTCGTTTTAAGATTTGATGAGGAAATTGAGATGCAGATTTTCATAGAAGGAACTTAAATATTTATCTTTTCATTGTCTAGAATTATTCCAAAATATTCAGATTCCTTTACAAAACCGGATGTTTAAACAAAAACATGAATTTCTGATGTAAAATGTCTAACTTGCTTGCCTTTTTAAAAAAATACATTCTGTTTTTCTGGAACGTTTGTAGCTGGAAAGCCCAGGCTGCACCAGCTGAGCTCGGGGATGAGACGGACGATGTCGCTGGACGCCATCATCGGGCCGTACCTGCAGGGACACTGGCCGAAAGAACCCGAAGTCCACTGCGGTCCGTCCTGCAAAGACAAATCAACCCAGGTGTGCTCTACATGGAGATAAGTGTGAGAGTTAATCAGCAATAAATCGACTGGTCGCATAGTAAATTAACATTAATGTGATAATTTCCATTCGTTAAAGAGAAGCTTCCCTTTAATATCAACGGAAATTCTCCATTTTGAAACTCAATAAATCTTACTGGATGATAAATCGTCCCAGAAGTTATTGCGATAAACGATAATATTGTTGTTTTTGAGATCATTTTTAATTAATATAATGGTAATGACGCATTCTCAAAGATTAATAAACTTTAAAATCTAGAGAACATTTAACTCTGGAACTGGAAGTCATTTTAAATATCCACGAGAAACAACAAATATAATCTCTGTAAACAAAATCATCCTTCAAAAAACGGGCTGTTTGAGACCAAAGCACCCGAATGAAAACTTTTCTCATCCAGTTTCTGAGAGAAAATAAAAAATAAAAAAAAATTATGCAAATGGAAATTATTGATCTTGTTTTAATTTATAATGCGATTAATTGATTTATTGCTACATGTGACACTCGGTAAGAAGTAGCTAGTTTACACTTCCTGCCACTTTTGCCTGAATTATTATTTTTGGTTATCGAGACTTAATAATAAATTTTAATTATTGTTGTTTTGTTTGTTCATTTTGTACATTTAAAATATTTTAAATGTGTTGAATGTTCTGTAGAAATGTACATTTGAGAGGTTACACCTGCGTCAATATGTTTTTATTTCTAGTTGAAAATGGTCTCAGAATGACAATATTATCATTTACTGCAACAACTTCTGCAGCATTTGATATTGTAGGAGTTTAAAAGTGAGTCAGAGGAATAAGTTTGTCACAACTTTGAGTTTATTTTGTTAAAGCTCTGCATGGATTTTCAGTTTAGTTTAGTTTAAATGGACAGATAGGTTTGAGTCATGGTGTCTATTTATTTCCCTGCAGTTTTCTGCAAAGATAGAAGTGAGACGGTGAGCAGAAGGAGGGGGGGGAGAGCGAGAGCGAGAAAGGGGGAGGCAGTGTCCGGTGCTTGCACAGCTATTACATAGTGTGAACCACAGCCATGAGAACAGTGACTGAAGTCAGCTGATGAGGCTGTTCTGGCTGCACCCATCCTCTCTGCTCTGTGTGCAGGCTCTCGCCACTGCTCTTCGGTTGCCCACATCCTCCACCCGCTCTGTTTTTCAGTTTCTCCTGCTCTTTTGCTCTTCTAGAAGTGTGAAGAGCAAGTCTGTGGGTGTTAACTGTTTAAAATATCAAGTCAAGAACAAGATAAAACCACCGTATCTGTGTGATCCAGACCAGAGGTTTTGATGTAATGTGAGGTTTATTCTTGTCGCTGTTTTTTGACCAGACTCGGATGATGTGATGATCTGAGCTAAAAATTCACATTGAAAACCTTTTTTTTGTTTTTTGTTTTTTTATCTGTAGACTCCGGACTCATGGGTGGAGAAGTCCAGGAGCAGGCGAGCTAGCACCAGCGGCAGCCACAGACGCTCGGCATCGTGGGGCAGCACTGAGCATCTTCGAGAAGTCAGTCTCTGCTTTTATTCCTCAGCAGGTTTATAACTCTGGATTCAAGTGGCCAGGCTCATTAAAAAAAAACACTTTTCTGAGCAGTGATCTCATCTGCTGCTCGGAAACTTCCTGTTTTCTCACCTACATGCACATAAAAGTCTGGTTTCAGCATATTTCATCTGTTATTTGCAGATGATTTTTATTTTTTTAATATGCATGACTAAAGCCATCAATGCCGATGTATGCACAAATGTAATTGGCTGTAACCTGTGTTATTTTGCAGATTGTCAAACTGAAACAACAACTGCAGCAGGGCAGCAAACCTGTGGCCTCTGGGGTGCATGACAAAGATCGTCAGTGTTGTTATCCTCATGGGAGCTGCAGCCTAGGAGCAACTCAGGTATTTACCATCATCATCAAACAAACACAGCGGCCCTTTGAGGCTGCACAGTCTTCTACTACGACTGTCTGCTGTGTCCAATTTTTGAATTTATACATCGAATGTGCAACTATTTACAGGAAGTGACTGAATTAAAGCACTGAAGCAACAGGAAGATCACTACATCACATGTGCTTCTTCTTCTTAGGAAGAAAGGCATAGTTCTGCTTTTGAGCACAGCTGGTCATTTTGTAGTGTTTGGTAATTGCACACTTGATTTGGTTTTTGAGGCTTGTGGTCACAATTGTTTAAAATAAAATCAATTCGTAGTTTATACTGGCTCTTTTAGAGTAACAAAGGCAGTCAGTCTAGGCTCATTTCATGGTTTATTGTTGTGGGAAAGACCCAAAAATCCATCACGTCACAGTTTCATAACAACAATTGGTAAATTAAACCATAGCTTTTACTTCCTGATGCAACAGAAGTGTTGTTTCTTTAAATTCTGTCTGCTAATAATGGTTTAAAACCCACAAGGAAACATCGATATGAGCTGAGTTATCAACAAGTCGTAACAAAACCGAGAGGAAACAAGCTAGCATTAGCCTAGCATCTCAGCAAACTCCTGCCTGTGCAAAGATCCTTAGCAGAGTTGGATGCTTGTTTACTGAAGAGTTTTTCTAGCCGAGTCAGTTCATCCGTTAGAAAAATTAAGCAACAACTTGTTTTTGTTTGTTTTTAGGGGAAGTGTAATTGGAACATAACAGCTTTCTTAAACCCAGTTCTCAGGGTTTTTACCTTTCAGAGTATATTGCAAAGTTTTGCAATGTCCAGCAACGCCCATTACAAATCCGTTTTTCTGGGGTTTTTTCTCACATCTTTTGAGTATACTGTGACCAAGCACTCGATAATGAGAAGCTGTGATTGTGGAACCAAAGAGGCACGGCTTAGAAATCCAGTCATTGCTCAATAAAATGTCACATTCATTCTGCAGCGCCTTCTGACCATTGTAATCTGTATTTTTTTTGAGTGCAGATCATTAAATTTTATTTACACTGAAGAAATTAGCTTAATTGCATGAAAAGCTATTAAGCTAATCATTGTTTCAAGCAAAATTTCTGATAAAATTGAACAATTTCCTACAGTTTAGCATTAGATATTGGATATATGCTTTGAGTTTTTCTTTTTCTGGACTTTTGACCTTATTGGATTTGGACATTTTAGTGTGAACCATTCATTTTCTTTTCTTGAAAGATGAAAGAATGAATTTTTTCGACATTGGGAAAATGACGTGCATTCAAAACCACCACTAGCAACATTAGCTGGTGTTCTGGATGCTTCAGTCGTTTACAATGTTGTGAAGGAATTTTGTCACCATTCTTCTTTACAACTCGGCTACATTTCAGCAGAAAGACATGGGTTCATTGTCCTGGTGATGATCCAGTTCTGGCCCAACTTCTGTGTACCTTCTGTACACAGAAGTTGTAAGTATTTTTATAATTTCTAGATACGAGTAGAAGTTAAAATACTCTCATCTCATACATATATTTATATGTTTAAATTTTTAAACAATGCTACAGTACACTCTTTTCTCCATTTTTTTTTTTTTTGTTTCTAATCCCTTTTTATAGCGGTTGATTCTTCTAGAATATAAGTTATTAGGGCTGTGTAATTTTATCAATTCTATGATATTGATTTTTTTCCTCAAAGTATCAATTTTTCATCTGCGAGTATCGATACATGAAATCCTTCTTTGAGTTTTTATGTAAAATCCACTTGAATTAAATGACAGCTATCACACATGACATTTTTACCCAATTGCACATATACATTAAAAATGACATTTACTGAAATGACCGGTTACAATTAATTAAATAATTAAATTAAACTAATAAATTACATTATAATATATTGAGTAAGACAAAAAAGGTTAATTTTCTGCATATCCAAATACACAAAGCCAAATGTATAACAAAATGACATTTATTACACCAGTATTACACCATCAGTTCAGTTAATTCAATCCAAGTCTGGTACAGTAAGAAAATGTCACCAAAATCACTCAAATCTTTCAGAAAATCTTTGAAAATGATTGAATCGTATAGTTTGCTGAATATCGTGATATATATTGTACCGTGAGCAGAATATCGCTTATCGTATTGTATCATGTGATTAGTGTATTGCTACAGCACTGAGTTACAGCCAAAATGATACAAAAAATGATATGTCTTTACAGTACACTGCAAAAACACAAAATCTTACCAAGCATTTTTGGTCTTTGTTTTATTTATTTATTTTTTGATCGTTTGGGTCTGAATGAGTGTTGATCTGCTCTTAAACATTAATTACTTTATAGTTGTAGATTGATAGTAGTAGAAACAATTTTATGTATTTAATTGCACTTCAAAAAACACAAATCCTTTTTTGATCTAGTTTCTAGTGCAAATATTTTAGTAAACTATAAACAAAACAAAACTAACTTACAAGTCACAGTTCAGTGAGATACAGGTTATATTGCCTTTAAATAGGTAAATGCTTAATATTTATGAAAAACTACTGGTGGCGGAGGGGGCGGAGCTAAGAGACTAAGGGGGTGGAGCCAATAGGCTAGGGGGCGGAGCCATGTCTGCAGACGAGTTCCTTTAAATCGAGACTAAGAAGCCACCTGTGTAGAGCCGAAACTTGACAATTGTTGGCTGTGTTTTATAACTTTGTGTTTTTTTTGTGTGCTTTTTAATGATGTAACGCATTTGAACTGCCTTGTTGCTGAAATGTGTTTTGCTAATAAACTTGATTGATTGATTAATCTATATCAAATAGCTGAACTGGTAATTTGTGTGGTTGTTGAGCTGAAGTCAGGAGCTGCCTTTAAAGTGAACTAAAAGTTAAGTGGATTTGTGTTTGTGTCCATAGACCCAGCCGGTTCCCATCCCCCTCTCCCCTCTGTCTACTCTGGTTCCCCGCCTGCGCTGCAGCGTGGAGGGCCTCAACCAGGAGCTGGAGGGCATGTTCATCAGCCAGTCTCCTCCCCCACAGCACAGGGTAGGTGTCTCTCATGTCTCCTGTCCTCAGAAAATCACAATGATGCCCGACTTATTTTGTTCTCCTTCTCGTCAGCTGCTTGAAGTTCCAGACGGTCACCGCGCTCCGGTGCCTCTGCACAGCTGCAGCAGCGGTTCGCAGAGCGACCGCGCCACCACACCCCTCTCCTCCTCCTCTAACTGCTCCTCTCCCTGCGCTTCGCCTCCATCTAATGCTCTAGATGCTCCCCTGGACCCTCACCAAGGCTAGTTTATATTGTTTATTATGCAAAATAAACAAAATTAAACAAAATTTTCCTTAAAAAAAAAAAGGATAATTGAGACAAAAGCACCAAACTGAAGACTCTTGGCATCCAGTTTTTGGTAGAGAAAAGCAATACATTTTAATTTTGTCACGTTTGGTTATCTGGTTTTACTGCTGTATGTGCTGTACAATGGCTGATGGAAAAGAAAAGTGCTTTGTTGTTGATTTGTCATCCAGAAAATACTCCCTGTACTCATGTTGGTTGTGCAGGAGGCTCCACTTCTGCTTTTCAAAGATGTACAGTTGTGTAATTCGCAGCCATTTTCATATGCGAGTGTAAATGTGGCCAGAAGCTGTTTGTTTGGATTTAAAGTGACGGAGCCCTAAAACGGCTCATTCACTGATCGGACTAAATTCTCATTTTCCAAGAATGATTTTGACCAAAAAATATGATGAAACTGTTTTGTATAAACTCATCCTAACCTGTGAAAGGAAGAGTAATGCGTCTCCTTTAATGAAGTAGCAAACAAATGTGTCATTTGCATTTTTTCCTTTTGCTTCAGGCTCAGTAGAGAAGTGTCCGCTGTCTCCAGTGTCCTCCCACAGTGAGGCCGAGCTCAACCAGCCACCACAAATCTCCTCCTCTCCAGGACTCAACAAAAGCTTCTGCTTCCAGCGAGAACCTCCAGAGGGCTGCGAGAAGGTCCGAGTCTGGGAGGAGATCAGGTACCGTTCTGCAGATAATCTGAGTTTAGGCAGCATCATAATGTAAAGTTAAGTGGAAATTTAGGTATTCTAAGGACAAAAATGACAATAATTCATACAATTAACAAAAAATAACAAAATAAGACAAAAGAGATTTTTTTCAAATTAGTTTCTTGTAATAAAAAACTTAAAAACTGCAGGTGTCTGTCTGGTGAATTTTTGGCTTAAAGATGTTTGTTTTTCATTCAGTGGGTAGAAAATCCAGAAATTTTACTCAAATAAAAGTAAAATGTAAAAATACTCCGAAAGGTAAATAAAAAAAAAGTTACTCAAGTAAATGTAATAATTAATCTATTGATTATTGTGATGATTAATCATCTTTAAAAAAAGCGCATTCTGTAGATTTTTCATTTAAGCTTAAAAATACAATAAAACATGCAAATAACAAAGAAATCCTCTCTTTAAATGGGAAAATAAACATTATTTTGCCTGAAATGTTATATATATAAAGCGATTGATATGAATATTTGTGCATAAAAAAACAACTGAATGTTTACATGAAATGAACTTTCCAAATACCAGCAGGATTGTTATTTGATGCTTTAACAGAAACGGTTTAGGATTCAGATGAGTCTGACACATCAATCTTTTCTGATGAGCAGCGTAAAATTAGATTATTTTTTAGTTGTTTATGTAGATAAACTGAAAAAAATATTGATTCGTAGTTCCTGCTCAGCCTGGGAGAATATCTGGTTTCATTTCCACTTTTCATGATGGGTGGTATTGTTTTGCATTATTGACTGAAAATGAGCTGAACTGTTGAAACTTATTAGGTGTAAAATCACTAATAGGAAGTGAAGCTGCGCCTTTATTCCTGTTTGTCTTGGTTTTAGTCTCTCACTCCCTCTGACTCATGAGTTAAACTAACAGCTTCTGGTTTACAGTGACGACAGTTGGCTCCTTTTTCAGGCACATTGCACATAAATTGGTAATCTGAACATTCATGAATCTAAACCAGAATTATAAAAGTTTTAGGTTTTTCATTGTAGTTTAGTTTTGATTGTAATTCTGTTTATTTGTTAAATATTGTTTATTTTTCAGTAGTTACAGTGATAGTTTTAGTTTTTTCATACTTTGGTTTAGTTTTGAGTGCAAAATTCAATAATCTCGAAGTATGTTATCGTGATTGGGTAACAAATACTCAACAGAAAATACTATTTTCAAAAAATGTATTGATTTATTGCTAAGCAATCAAGCAGGTTTGGGTAGAGGATCCAAAAATTGTCCTCAAGTAAGAGCAGCACTACATAATTTACTTTTACTTCAAGTAAAAGTAAAAATATCCATCCAAGAAATTACTACAGTAAAAGAGTATTTGGTAAAAAGTTTATTCAAGTACTGAGTTACTAATCAGATTATTAATCATTTAATGTTTAAAAATTATAGAGTAATGAGTGGAAATGTTGATATTTTAAGGACACGGATAACAGTAATTCACATAATTAGCAACAAAATAACAAAATCAGGCAAAATGAATGTTTCCAAATCAGTTTCTTTCAATAAAAAACATAAACTTTCACATAAACAGCGGCTGTGTGTTTTTGTCTGGTTAAAACATGTTTGTTTTTCATTCAGTGGGAAGAAAATCCAGAAATTTTATTGAAGTAAGAGAAGAAATACTTTATAATAAGATTACTAAAGTAAATGTAACTGAGTAAATGTAACTAGTTACTTCCCAACTCTGGTGTTTTCTCACAACTTTTGCTGTCGTCATTTTGCCACCAGGAGGAAAATGTCGCGCCGTAATGCCGTAATTTACTAACCGTAAACTAAAATGAATTTCACATCAGTTCGAAGGTTAATGAATATGATATACCATGATATTGCTATAATTTCAGTTAAATCTTTTAGTTAATGATGATGACCTCGATCCAACCCAAAGTCCTGCTCTCTCCTGCAGTATCCCACACCACCACAAGGAGGCCCCGGTCTCCTCCTGCCCTGACCCCAACAAGGTGAACTTCACGCCCCACGGCGGCTCGGCCTTCTGCCCCGTCAGCCTGCTGAAGCCCCTGTTCCCCTCCATGGACCTGCTGATCCGCAGCCTCACAGTCTCTCCCGTCGGGAACTGCTCCGGCCAGGGAACGCCGTCCGCTGGGAACCGCGGTGCCTCCCCGGATCCGGCTGCCGCCTCCGCCGTGCTGGGAGACGCTTCGGGAGAGGCGCTCGCCTTCTGATTGCAGCTGCAGCTCTTTTCTGTGAAAATGATGATGCAAATGTTTACCTGGACCAGGCAGGTGTGTTTGAACTGCTCTTCTTCTTTAGATATAAAATAATCTGATTTATGAGTAACTCTGGAGGAGGGCAGATAAATGATGTGGTGGTGTAAAACACCCCTGGTGAAATTTTAGGTGTTTTTCCTGATAAATCAACTCTTTCCACCTTTTATTGTGACTTCTTCTCTTAGTCCAATGCACTTTCAGTCAAATTTAACTCTAATTTTAATCCAAATTCATTCATTTTGTTTGTAAATCTACATTTAAGCCCCATATTATTATTATTTCCTGACATATTTGAATTTAAATCTGACCTTAAACCAAAAAGTTATTTCTGAAGATAAAACTGTAAAATGAGCTGTATTTATTTACATTTTCATTAAAAATTGTGTTGCAAATTACTTATATCCTTCTCAGTAATCGGTTTGAGAGTCTTGGCTCCGTCTGGCTGAGCTTCACAAACATTCAAATTACATCCACATCCCAGTAAAATTAAAATAATATAATAATTTGATGCAATAATTTTGTGCTTAACTGTATGTTTGGACTTCTAATTTTTATTTTCTAGCAGAAATCCTGAAGGTTTTGCATAAAAATTCATGAAAGTTGTCAGAAATGTATCCACTGTTATCAAAAAAATTAAACCAAACCCACAGGATAATGATGCCACCACCATGTCTTGATTCCCTTCTTCTTAGTCTAGATATATGGACAATAGAATATATCGTCTGATACAGAATCAGTGCTGCTGTTGCCTTCCTGACAGGTTCATGTTTTGCTTTATTCTTGGTTTGGCTTTATTGTTTTTGGATAACTTTCTCCTGGTGAAATGCTATGGAAAATAATGCTGAGGAATTTTATTTGTAGCCTTCTTATGACTGGTACCTTTAAACAATGAGCTAATAGATTCACCAGAAAGATGGTAGAAAATCTGAATGCAATCAAAACAAGAGGTCATTGCTGCTTTTTTCCCCAAAAAAATATTTTCTTTTCAACGGATCAGTTCAGAATATGTCGCTCTAAAAGTGGAAAGTTTTGGTTACTTATCAGGATTTCCTTTAAAAAACGACATTTTACCAGGGGTATGAACACTTCTGAGCTCCGTCGAAACCCAAAGGAAAGACTTTATAAGCTACAATTTCCTTCCAGGAACTCAAAACATTTCAATTTGGGTCAATCAGTTTTATTTTCCAAAGAAATTTATGGCCAAAAAAACAACATGAAACAGAGCTTTGACTTTACTGACTTCACTTCCTGCCTAGATCCTCCTCTTTTTTTACGTTTGTCCAAAATATCAGGAGTCTAGGTCTTCTGAGAACACTCACTTATTATTAAAATGAGTTTTCTTCCTTTTTGTAGGTATTCAAAGATATTTATGTGTAACTGGATGTTGCTAGTGCATGACAAATCAGCTGGTAATCTTTGCTTGACTCAAGAGAAGACAATGAAATCACTTATTTTGTTTTATTATACTTGGCCGTAGGGAAATTTCCGTTTGTTGGAGTTGGGTAGCATTTACACCCAAGAGCTTCAGCTTCCTGCTTTAAGGTAGTTTGTTGTTTTTGTAGAAATATGTATGAGTTAGTAGTTAAAGATGTTGTTTTTCGATGTTGGTGTATCAAGAACACACCAGGTAGGTGTGTTTTTGACGCCATGTTGATAGTTTTGAGGTTTCACGGCCCAGTTGACTACCTAACCAGTTTTAGTGGTATAGATGTGTCGCCTTTCATGTTTGCTTTGATATGTTTTCGTTCTGCCAAGCTGACAAGTCGATCAACTAGTTTTATTTCCGGTAGACATGTTTGCACAGATTGAACTGCTACCTTCGAGTTGCAATTCTTTGTTTTGTTTTTTTTACTTTCATTCTTTTTGTACTTCTTTGTAAATCTTAAGAGTAGTAAAGTGTATTTTGTACGTCTTTATCAGTTACCTGCAGCATAAGCTAAAAGGAAAAAAAAATCTCCTGTTATTTCTAGTTTTGTTGATGTTCGTTTGTGGCAGGTTTTTCATCATCGGGTGGAGTTTTATGCACTTCCAGGAGAGGATGTTTGTTTTTTTCCCCACTTTTTACACATTTCTGGGTAAAGTGTCTGACAGATTTATGTGTGTGTGAGTGTGTGAGCATGGTGATGGAGACTTGATTGATCTTTTGACTAACTTGTAGTTTTTTTTATATTATTATTATTAAAAATACAGAATAGAGTTGTTGATACAAAATGCTTCCTTTCTGTTTGGAT